TGGAACTGCTACTGTAATTCCATGTCTAGTCCCGTGTCACAGATGGACATAGTTTGTCATACTCACAAAAATGCTAGGAAATGCTTTTTAGTGATTATATTGGTATTCTCTCTTTGTAAGCAACATTTATTGGTAGTAGATTTTAAATGGAAATTTTTGCTACTTTTCAAATGACCTGATACCGTTTACAGATACTCCAAGGTTGTACCTGCTGTTCATGCTGCTCAGGCAGCACTCAGATACAGACCTCACACATAGTACCCAAAGTCCTTTACATTTAGCCTTATTTTTTAGGTTTATTGAGAAATGTCTAATCTGTATGTGCTTTTAAACAGTAAACCAAATACATTTGAAATTTGTCAATGTTTTAAGTAAGCCTTTTTACATGTTTATATACTCTATGGTAAGATAGCCTTGCTGTTGGAAGCCTGTAAGGAGGATATTATGCTCTATTGTCAAGAAGCATTCACAGTCTGTCACATTAGTGCTAGAGATGTGTATAGAAGAGTAATTATTATAAGCTGACATCCAGCAAATGTAAGTAAAAATAGATGAACCTCAAAGGAAAGTGAGGCTGTATGTTTTAGGTACTATTTGTTTCCAGATGTTTAATGTCAGGACACTAAAATGTTATTTAGCGTAGCACCTAATTGGTAAAATAATTTTGTATTTATATAACAAACAGAAATGTGATTTGCTTAGCTCTGCACTTAATTAGCTTCTTATCAAGGTAGATAAATACAAAAATACAAACAATGAGTTATCAGTAATCCAGTATTTAAAGCAACGCATGGTATAATATTTTTAATTCTATTTATACAGTTCAGCAGTATCAAGCAGCAAAAGTATTTATATCTACTAACATAATGTGCAGTTTTCATTAAAAAAATGAGATGGAACAGATATTACAGCAAGAAGGAACACTACGTGGCATTTTTTGCTAGAATTAATCCTGCTGTTTCATGAAAACATTTGATTCTGGTCATAAAGCAAGGCTTGCATGCCAAAATGATAGATGCCTTAAAAGAAGCTTTGATAAATAAAATTCTGCAGACCTTGGCATTCACAGTTCCCTTTTGGCAATAGTGAGGAATGGCTGAGTAATAGTTAGGAAACGGACTTATTTAAGACAGTTTATTACATCTAAAGATATTAGGGCTAGAACTGCAGCTAGTGTAAATCAGCATATCTGCCTTCAAATTACTTATATTGCTTTGTGTCAGCAGAGAATCTGGCCCATATCCATTATCTAGAGGGAATATCAACTACTACAAAGCATACTTATCTAACCAAAAGCAAACGTAGTGTGCGTAGCTCATTGATGTTTCTTGTAACACTTGT